TAGTCCCTGGCACACGCTAGGTGCCAGATAATGTCTGCAGAGTTACCAAGTGACGAAAGCCAGGAGTCCTGGGTCCCGTGAGGTCTTGGACAAGTCACTTCCCTTGCTGAGTCATCCGTATGTGAGGGCAGGACTCTGGACACTGACTCAGCCCCGTGGGATCCAGAGCCTGAGGAGAGGTGGAGACGGGGCCCCATTCCTGCCACGATGCCAAGCCAGCCCAGGGTTTCCCCGCTCACCCACCTCCCAGGTGAAGTGCTTACTGTGCTCTGTCTCAACTTCTTGCTAAGCAAGAACAACAAATTCCCTGCGGCCCATGGCAGCTCAGAGAGGTTGAGTAATCACCCAAAGTCACCCAGACAACTAGCAGTGATGTCAGTGTTTTAGAATATATCCAGTCACCCATGCTCCGGCCCTGCGGCCTGAGCTCTCCCCTTCGGCCAGCGGGCTTTCTTTGGCGATATCTGACAGGCCAGTAAATGGCAGTGTTCGGAGTAGCTGAGTGGCTTCCCAAGGTCCAGAGTTGCCCAGTTCTGGGGGTCAGCTCTTGGCCCACACTGTCCCCTCCCACTCTGAAATGTTTTCTTTTTCTCAAATGCCAGTCTTCTCTCACCCCAGGCCTTGACTATGCCCTTGGCCTGGGACCCTCCCAGGGACATGTCTGACTCTTCTGGTTTCACTTTAGAAGCTAGAGCTCCGCTCCCTACACCATCTGTCCTTCCCCCCAGCTCCATGACCCTGTGCTTCCCCACCAAGTTTTGTCACACCAGGTTGCTTTTGTCCCAGACTGTGAGTTCTATGAAGGCAGAACTTATGCATCTTGCTCCATCCCCAGGTCCCCAGGTCCCCATCACCCAGCAGAGGGCCAGTCCAATGGCAGATGCTCAATAAATATTTAATGAGTTAATGAGGTCCGTTTTCATCCTTTCCATTTTATAGATGAGACCACTGAGGCAAAGAGAGGTTTAGCACCTTGCTCTGGTCCCACAGCTAGGCCCTAGAGCAGCTCTGGAGGAAAGGTCCACTGGGGCATGGTCAGATGGGGCAGGGGTCAGAGGCTGGGCTGGAGTTTCCTGGAGGAGGGAGAAGGAGAGGTCAGGGGCTATGCAGGTGGGACCCTCAGTCTGACAACTGACCCTTGCCCACAGTTCACAGATGAGAAAAGTGACTCCCAGAGGTGGGCAGAGCTCACTTGAGATCAGTAATGGAGCCCATCAGAATGCCTCCTGGGGCTCCAGGAAGCTCCCCATTACCCCGCCTTCTCCCACTTGCATCCCTAGAGGGGCAGAAGCAAGGAGGCCGTCCCAGAGGGAGGGCCTGCTTGAGCAGGAGGCCTGGGTTCTCAGGGCTGACCTCGACACTTACCCGTGCATAAGCCCCTTAAAGTCTCTGGGCCTCAGTTTCCCCATCCGGACGACAAGGGGCTGGAGCCTTCAGCCTCCCCCCTTCCCCAGAGCATGAGGACAGGGCTGCAGGAGCTGGTGGTTAAGAATACAGGCTCCGGAGTCCAAAAGGCATGGTCGAGTCCTGGTCCCTGCATTTATTGTTGAATGATCTTGCTTAGCCCTTCACCCCCTGAGCCTCCATTTCATGGTCTGTAAAGAGAGAATAATAGCATTTTTTGAGGATTAAATGAGCTAATAATGTAGGGGAGTCCTTGGCACAATGCCCGGCACAGCAGCACCATGAAACGCGGCTGCGTGGTTATGGCATCAGCTAGGGAATGCTGCCCTCAGGTGGCCATCAGGAGGAACAGCAGGCGAGCTGCCCGGCCCGGCGGGAACCTGCGTTCCCAGCGTGCGAGCGCCCATTGTCCAGATGCGGAGAGTGGGGCCGGGCGCCGGTCACTCGGTGTGCGCCTCCACCCACTGGCAAAGGCGCCGGGCATAACGAGCCGGGCTGACCGTGGAGAAGGTCCGGCCCGGGTACCGCAGTGTCTTCCACAGGTACTCCAGCCGCTTGCGGAGCCCGTAGACCGTGGCGAGATCCACGACGCCCAGGAAATAGCGCTGCTCCGGCCCGTCCAGGATGTGGAGCGCGTTGGGGACATCGGGCAGCAGCCGGCGGTTCTGGGCTCCCGGGTCCTCCGGGCTCTGTGCCCCTTGCACAGACCTGGGGGCCGACAGGAGGGTGAGATTGCCGCCTCCTCCAAGGAGCCCGGCAGGCTGACCCGCCTGCTCAGCCGCTCCTCCCACGCCTGCTGTATGCCTCGTCTGTGAAGCCGGGTGACCGCGGAGGCTGAGTGAGGTGGAGGTGACGGTCTGGGTCTGCACTGTCCAGGACGTAGCCACGCGGGGCCACTGAACATAGGAAATGCGGCCAGTCCCGCTTGAGATGTGCTGCACGCGGAAAACACATACTGAATTTCCAGACAGTGTGAAAAATAATGTAAATATCTCATCAATATTTATGTTGATTAGATGAAATGATCGAATTTTGGATTATTGAGTAAATTATATTGTTTTGTTTTTGGGGTGGTTTTTGTTTGTTTTTTAAAGATGACTGGTAAGGGGATCTTAACCCTTGACTTGGTGTTGTCAGCATCACGCTCACCCATTGAGCAAACCGGCCAACCCTATATGGGATCCGAACCCGGGGCCTTGGTGTTATCAGCACCGCACTCTCCTGAGTGAGCCACGGGCCGGCCCATATATTGTTGAAATTAATCTCACCTGTTTCTTCTTTTTTTTAAAAAAGATGACCGGTAAGGGGATCTTAACCCTTGACTTGGTGTTGTCAGCACCACGCTCAGCCAGTGAGCAAACCGGCCAACCCTATATGGGATCCGAACCCGGGGCCTTGGTGTTATCAGCACCGCACTCTCCTGAGTGAGCCACGGGCTCTTAACCCTTGACTTGGTGTTGTCAGCACCACGCTCAGCCAGTGAGCAAACCGGCCAACCCTATATGGGATCCGAACCCGGGGCCTTGGTGTTATCAGCACCGCACTCTCCTGAGTGAGCCACGGGCTCTTAACCCTTGACTTGGTGTTGTCAGCACCACGCTCAGCCAGTGAGCAAACCGGCCAACCCTATATGGGATCCGAACCCGGGGCCTTGGTGTTATCAGCACCGCACTCTCCTGAGTGAGCCACGGGCCGGCCCTGTTTCTTCTTTTTTTTAAAAAAGATGACCGGTAAGGGGATCTTAACCCTTGACTTGGTGTTGTCAGCACCACGCTCAGCCAGTGAGCAAACCGGCCAACCCTATATGGGATCCGAACCCGGGGCCTTGGTGTTATCAGCACCGCACTCTACCGAGTGAGCCACGGGCCGGCCCTGTTTCTTCTTTTTTAAATGATACTAACAGAAAATTTTAAATTTACACATGTGACTTACATGATACTTCTATTGGGTAGCACTCGCAGAGCATTTGGGTCACACTGACCCTGGCTCTGCACTCATTGTCACATGACTTTGGGGAAGTCCTTTGAGTATTTCCGAAATTTCTGTTTGGGATCATCCAACCCTGGAAGTCCTAGGGTGGCAGAGCTGAAGCTTTGCGAACAAATCCATTTTGTTTGCGGATGGTGTGTGTGTTTTTGCCTCAAAATGCTTTCCAAATCAGAAGATGCCTTTGACTGGACCCCAGTCCCAGCAGAAGTAGGTTCAAATCCCTAACTTTGTCCTGCGAGAGTCGCCAAGCTTTATTACTGTCCTGTCCAGTCATTTCCTTGGGGGTAAGTGAGCCAGTAAAAGACAAGCCCCGCCGAGGTGCCGACCAATCAGAACCCAGCGGTCTCAGAGCCTGGCAGGGCAATGTCACCCTCGGCGGTGCCAGGGTTATTAACCAGGATGATGGGGAGGTGTGCGGCAGGGATGGGGTGGGGTTCTGAGAGAGGGGCTGGGAACTGGGTCGGGGTGGGGTGGAGACAGCCATCATGAAAATATCTTAATATCACAACAACCATTATATGAGAAACGGGACTTACTGGCTGAATGGCAGCCGTGACTGAAGCACCAGCTGTGGGTAGAGGGCAAGGGAGAAGCTGACTTAGCTTGGGTGGGCAGACGTGGGGGGCTGTGCCCCATGGCAGGAATTCCACCACCCAGGCAGGATGTGCTCACCCAGCCACAGGCTGCCTGGGGAGCTATTACCCTGGATTCTGCCCAAGCCTCACACATCTCGAAGTCTTCCTCCAAGTAGCAGGAATGCAGGAGCTGGATGAGGGAACCTCACTGTTCACTTCCCTTGTCCACCCACCAGATCACTGGGCTTTGGTTCTTAAAGTGCCTGTATTAACCCCTATGTAATTCTGTTTATCCACAGAGGTGGGACTTGGAGAATTGAAATCCAAGTAACTAACCGAGTACTAACATGAGTCCTTGGAATTCACTCTGCAACTTCACTTCTCTCTGAGCCTCAGTTTTCACAACTCTAAAATGGGAATGAGCCCACCCTCTCAGTGAAGCCCATGGTCAGCGTGCAATGAGGGAGAGTTACTGCTACAAAGGTGAGGGTAACATGATGATGATGCCCGTGGTGATGACCTCAGGGTCCTGGAAGTTGAATGACTGGGCTAAGGGGCAAGGGCTCTTTCTAAGGCAAAAATTAAACAAATCTTTCTACTGCTCTGAAGTCTTCAATGGCTCCACATCCCCTGCTGCAAAATGGGCACATTCTTCAAATGAGCACCAAAGCCCTTGTCCAGCTGGACCTTGTCTGTTCTGTCCCCAGCTGTGATCCACTTGTGCCCACTGCTTCCACCAGCCGTGCTTCTCCAGCCCTGCACCCTCCACACGCACGTACACACACACACTTTCCAGACTTGGAGCCTTTGCCTGTGCTGTTCCCCACCCAGGGAAGGCACTCCCACACCTCCACATCCGTCTTCCCCACCTTCTCATCAGCTCGTTCTTGCCGTGGGGGGCTCACCTGGCCATGCGGAAGATGAGGCTGCTGTCCTGGCCCCTCTCATCCTCGTGGAGCCTCTGGAAAGCCATCAGGAGGCTGTAATCCAGCACGTTGAGCTCCCGGAGGAAGGCGGTGTCCAGTTCCACCTGGCAGAGGAGCCAGCTCCTCTGGGGCCCTGCCGGAGCATCAGTGCCCACCTGAGCACTCACCGTGTGCCAGCCACGGTGCTCCACACGCTTCTGCCCCAGGAGGGCAGGATCATTACTGCCTCCATTTCACAAATAAGAAAACTCATCTGTACTTGGCCTTGGACACCTAGCTGGTAAGTCGTGGAGCTGGGATTTGAACCCTGTTCTGCACGACTCCAGAATCTGGGCTCTTAAGGATTAGGGCAGCGGGCAGTGCCAGGGAATGGAGGAAGAGCAGGCAGTGTCCGCCTCTGTGGCTCACCCAGGTCGATGGTTTTGTCTTGAAAGTTGAGGTCCTTCAACACCAGGACGAGAGGGCTGCCCTCAGGGGCCGGATCCACCCAGCGGCTCACCTCGCAGCCCTTAATGTCATACCTGGGGGTGGGGGGACAGAATTCAGCTTTACCTACAGTTGAGACACACAGGGAATCTCACAAGGTAATACGTGGAAGCCAGAGCTTCCACCGGGTGACTGTTCATGTATGCACTAAACTCATTACATCTCTACTCCTCAGCACAAGCCGGGTCTGTTACCGTCCCCACGTTAGAGATGGAGAAACTGAGGCTCTCTAACTTGCCCGACCTACCCAGCAAATTGGGAGCAGAGCAGAGATTCAAATTCAGCTTTTGGAAGCCCAGCACAGTCTTTAGCCTTCCCTGCGCTTGCCTTTCGGCACTTTGTCATCCCTGGAGATGTCGCAGACACACGGATCCAACACTAGACGGCAGCGCCAGGGGGACACGAGGGCAGACGATGGCTCCGGGGAGGAGCGCTAATGGGGACCGTGGGGGCAGTCAGGGCAGGAAGCCAGAGGGCTGAGTGCAGACAGAGGGGCTGCGCCTGAATCCCTGATACCACACGTCAGCTGTGTGGCCTTTCCCTTCCTCGGTTTCTCATGTAGGACGACAACACCTACCCCTCGGTGTGTTCGGGGAGTAAAGAAGACACTAGATGCAAAGGGTCAGCATAGCGCCCACCGCGTACTGAGTGCTCGAGAGGTGCTGGGTGTCGCCGTCTCCGACCCACCCGTTCTTGGGAACTCCCCTTCTGCCTGGGCCTCCGTGTCACCGTCTATCTAGTGAGTGTGGACGCTTCGGGTGGCACGTTCCGGGCCGGGTCGGGGCTCTGAGGCCTGCTCCCGGCCGACTCACCTCTCGGAGATGCGGCCGGCGGGATAGAAGACGCTCTGCATGATGATGAAGTATTTCTGGGGACAGGGACGAGGAGTGAGAGAAGCCACAATCTCACCCTCTAGCCGCCCCTTCCGCCCAGCCACCTCGCCTCGGCCTCACCCACCTTCTTTGCTCTGGCCACCCGCAGACTGTGCACTCCTGGAAGGGGACAGGGCTGCAGGTGAGGGCCCCGAACTCCACAGCCCTAGGTCCATCCACCCCAGTCCCAGCTCCAGGCCACGCCTTATTCTCCAGATCTGTGGCATCCGGAGCCCGCCCCCCCAGGCCCCGCCCCCAGACCGCTCCCTCTGCTCGGGTCCCACAGCCCCAGTGATGCCCCGCCCCCAGGTATGGCCCCGCCCCCAACCCTCCCTCGGGATCGTCTCATCCCAAGTCCGCCCCCTTTAGGCCCCGCCCCCAGACCCGCCCTCCCCCGCAC